CCAGTTGAGGTGGCTTGGGCATCTGGTCAGGATGCCTCCTGGATACCTCCCTGATGAGGTTTTCCGGGCATGTCCAACCGGGAGGAGGCCTATAGGTAGACGCAGGACACGGTGGAGGGACTATGTCTCTCACCTGGCCTTGGGATTCCCCCGGAGGAGCTGGCCCAAGTGGCTGGGGAGAGGGAAGTCTGGGCCTCTCGCCTTAGGCTACTGCCCTCGCGACCCGACTCCGGATAAGCGGATGAAAATGGATGGATGAATTAAAATAAACTCATCAACATGATTTTTTTACAAAAGGCAAACCATTTTCTACCATGAGGTTTAGACAGTCTGTGCTCAGAAAAAAGAAAAAAATATGCCTGACAAAAACGATCAAAAATTATTAGGATTGTCATAATTTTTTTAAGAATTATTGTGAGACTAATTCACACTCAGAACATGGAAATATCTGAAAATATTCCAAAATACTGTAATCATCCCTGTTATGGGTCATGAGTGCTGCTGCTCTGATGAGTTGGTTGTGATTAAATGTGTAGAAAGAGCTGCAGCTGCAGGTAAATGCAACTTTAACTCAGCTGTTTGCGTGAATACTTTAATAAACCACTGCTAAGGGCAAACTGATGTTTAGACTCTTTATTGTGGCAAAAATCTTACAGTATTATGAAATTATCTCATCACTTGTTTCCCCTCCAGCGTCCTTACATCTTACAGTGAACATATTCATATATTGGGGTTTATTTTAATGAGTAAGGCTGTAGCAAACTGGTGGCCATTTCTTACCAGAAAAAGTATTTATGTTACTAGTATCAGATATTAAAGGCGTTAAATACTGGTTGTGTTTACTCTAAACTCCAACTTCAAAACAATTAAAAACACGACGAGCCTCGGGAAAAATCTATAAGGTAAATTTACTGAAGTCCTTGACAGAAAACTGTTATTTAGTGGTGATTTTGTTTGCTTTGACAAACTTTAAGCTCAAAAATGCTGTGAGAAGTTAAAGCGACAGCACTCATACTCACGCCTCATCATCTGCAGCGTGCTGCCTCTGACAGCTGGTTAAAGGACGACACATGACTAACACACTAGAACAAAGATTGTTTGTGAACAAGAGGAGCCCTCCCTCTTTTCTCTGATTGATTCTCTAATGAAAAGTGACTGAAACCCATCTCTAAAACCCAACAGAACCCCCCCCCCTCATCAAAACAAAAACTCTTTGGACCTACACGATTCACTCGAACGCCACAAAAATGACGATTTTCACCGAAAAGCTACAAGTTTGCAGGTATGCTAGTAGCTAACTGTCATAGATTAAAGCAGGCATGGGGAACCCTGGTCCTTGAGGTCCGGTATCCTGCATGTCTTTGCTCCAACACTTCTGATTCAGTGGTTGATTCACCTGTGCAGCAGCTCATCAGGCTCTGCAGAAGCCCGTTAATCACCTGCTTATTGAAATCAGGTGTGTTGAAGCAGGGTTGAAACTAAAATATGCTGGGCAGTGGCCCTCAATGGACCAGTGTTTCCCACCCCTGGATTAAAGGTTGAATACGGAACACAAACACCAAAGCGACTTCTGCTGGGTGGAGGTTGTAGTTACAACAATAGAATGTTGACAGCGTCAGGATGTCAGGTTCGCTGCCGATATGTGAAGTGACCAGCCAGTACCATGTCTAGTCACGAGTCGTACAGAAAATTGACACATTTCTATAAATAGGTTTATTTTACAACAGTGTATAACGTTAGAACAACTTCTGGGCTCAGAAGCAGCTGTGTGACTTGCAGAGTCTGCCATTTTCCACAATGTCAGCCTCACTGTACCGAGCAGACTGGCAACCCGCAACGGTGCCCTCTATTGGCTGGTAGATGTAAACATAAACCCAGTTTTGTGCCCGTTAAAATGAATTTTAAATAATTTTTATTAGCTTTGAAAGAAAATACTGTACCTTCATTCTGAACATCTCTAAATGCCCCGTGGAGATATTTTATTATAAATATAGCTTTTGATTAAATTGTTCCATATTCAACCTTCAACTCTAAATCACAGAATCGAGTTCAAACCTGTTAATCCTTACACTTTTTGTGGCACATTGCACTAGAATGTAACCATAAAATGGTAAATGGTCTGTATTTGTATAGAGCTTTCTTAGGGTTCTTCAACCCCCCAAGGTGCTTCTAGGTCTATTTGTCCTAGCATATACGAAGTAAACCTATCATGCATTTCGCTTCTGTGGTTGAGCATTATTTGGAAGTGCAGTGAAGCATTCACTCTACAAGTGCTGCACCACAGAAAAATACTAATTAAGCTGCTGCTTCTCAGCTCATGTAAATGCACTGACAGAAACGGGATAAACAATGAGGGATCCATATAGAGAAGATGATTAAAAGGATTTTCTTCAGCAAAAAAGAAAATTTTATGATGAAATAAATTATAAAAACTTTGATAGACCAAAAGTAAAGAAAAATGAGGCTATGCTCTACATCAGATCACCTTGGGGAAACTGAAATGAGGAGTTGTACTGATTATGAAGATTCAACAGCAACCGTAATCAGCTTCATGTTGTATTTGGTGAAGCTGATGCTTTTACTTGTTTAAATACAAAGGAAATAGGAGGTAATACAACATAATCACACAAATGTGAAATAAACTGTAACCAAACAAACAACAGAAAAAACAGATTACTGATTTTCTCTGCTTCTGTGTTTTTTTTTCTTCGGTTTTCTTTCTCTGACATGGATTTGTTCTACCAAATATTCTGAGCCTCAATGCGTTTTTACAGTAGCACCAATAACACAACATCTCTGCTGCCAGCTTATATTAAATAAGATACAATCAACACATGCATCTCTTAACATCGTAACAAAAACATGCCTTCTGAATTCTTTTTAGTCACATTTGGTTGTTTTTCAACATTCTTACTTGCACTCTTTAAAATGATGTCTCACCTGTTTTGTGAAAAGCGGTTTGAAATAACTATGTGGGAAATAAGTTAAAGGGTAAATGTGAACATTACAATGTGAGTAATTACAAAAGCAGGTTAATTTAGTTTATTCCTGCTTAGAGTTTCAGTAATGTGAGTTTTAGTGTAAGTGAGTTAAAGAACTGATCGTGATCAACCTTTGTTTTGTTAGAAGAGTTTCCTGCTAGATTTGTGCAGCTTTTACAGGCAATTTGTTCAGAGAAAGTTTATTTCTGAACTGATCAAATATGAATTTGGCCACATTTCTGCCTCTGGTGCATCTCCAGCTGGCAGAAAAACTGATGTTTTAATTAGTTTGAGTTCTGGACTGCTACGCTGATGACTCAGTTTGGGTTCCAGCCACTGCAATATTCATGAACTCCTCTTTTCTTATTACAGACAGACTACCCAGAAACACACCCAGCAAAGGAAAGCTTTATCAGTTTTGTAGTAAAATTATCCAAATTGAGAGTGCAGATATAAAACTAGAAGTGAAATGATTTTATTACATTCACAAATCCACACTTTCTTTCCTTTCTCTCCTCTGTCAATAGAGGGCAGCAGCACTACTACAACTAGTAGGTGTTTGTAATGGAGCTGCATGGCCTGTAACCAGATTGGGGGGGAAGAGATTGTCTAAATATGTTGAGAAGAATACATTTAAGTAGGTTTGTGTCCTCTTGTGCAGATGAGTCACACTATCACAGCGCGGCCGCACACACACACGCACACGCACACACACACACACACACACACACCATTAAAAGAAGAAATTAAAATAATTTTAGGTGACTAACATCACCTATCTGCTATCATGCATACATTAAACTTTATTTACAGTATATGACAACTACTTCAACTTAAGCTAAGCCAGATGTGCCAAACACACAGAAATATCTCAAAAACGGTAACAGGGATCTGCTGGTAAACATTCAACCCACATGGAAAATGCTGGACTTGGTCAGGGACCCCACCCAATCAAATTCCAGGTCAGACCACCGTGAAGAAGGTCCCATTTTGAATGAGAGGAGTGGCTGATGTATAATACGAGCACTGTAAGAAAAAGAGTTGTATCATTAATAAAGAGTGAAAAGTGACACAGACAATTTCTGATATTACATTTTAATGCCAGTATCGGTCGATAATAATGGTAGGCCCATCATCTCTAACATTCCTAATACACACACAAGCATGCACACAGAGATCCGGGTTCAAATCTTGGTCAGGTCATACCAAAGACTAAAAAAAAACAAAAAACAAAGGGACAGTGTCTCCCTGCTTTACACTCAGCTTTATAGGGGTTGGTTGGGGGGTTAAACTACCAAACAGTTCCCGAGCGCAGCCGTGTCTGCAGCTGACCGCTCTTACAGGGGATGGGTCAAATGCATGTGTGTGTGTGTGTGTGTGTGTGTGTGTGTGTGCCACAACTAATGTGTGTGTGTGTGTGTGTGTGTGTGTGTGTGTGTGTGTGTGTGTGTGTGTGTGTGTGTGTGCCACAACTAATGTGTGTGTGTGTGCACCACATATACAAATTTTTGTGTCTAACTGAAAAACAGTAGTCTATGGAAATCAGTCAATATGACTAGAAACTGAGGAGATATTGTGGATTGTCTTCTGCTTATTCTTGTCATGTTTCATTTTCTGCCTAAAACCATTTACAATTGTTGTTTTAACTAACTAACTAACTAACTAACTAACTAACTAACTAACTAACTAACTAACTAACTAACTAACTAACTAACTAACTACATTTTTAGCCCACTGAAATAACTTTTTGAGCCACCATGCTGCATTTGTGCTGCTCATCAAAGAGTTTGTCTTTGGAGATTTGGTTCAAAAAGGGCAAAACGAACTAACGTGTGATCACAAAGTAGATCATTTAGTTGATAAATGGGCCATGACAAAAACGGAAGAGTGGCTGGGAAATTTGCTAAATCATGCCAACCGTGCTACTGTGGGCTGAGTGCATGGAGATCTCCTCCTGGTGTGGGAAAGTAGTCTGCATGCAGACATCAGGGAGTGTTTCTGTGGAAGATAAGGGGCGAGTGAAAGTTTGTGGAACTCTCTCACTCTTTTTTTCAGCGTGTGTGTGTGACATCAACATCAAGAGAGAAAGACATACAAGGGAGGCAGAGAGAGAGAGAGAGCGGGTTTTGGGGAAACCTAAATCTGCTTGGCTCACTCAAGGCGCACCAGTCTGCGCAGCTCCTCTGCTTTTTAAAAAATTTCTCCTTCTGAATTCTGCAGCCTTCAGCTCTAAGTTTTTATTTCCGTAGCGGATGGATGTTCTCTGACAGGAAGTAACGCTCCAGCACAGCATTTTCACCTTGTGAAGTTTCAAAAAGTTCACCGGAGTGTGTGGATGGGGCATCTGAGTGGACTGGGTGACGCGCGCTTCTAATAACTTTTCAGCTTTTTCTTCCTTTTTTCTCTTCTTCAATGGCAAGATGGTCTTATAAGGAGACTCTTACTGATCGGGTCACTCCTGAGAAAGTTTAAGGAACTTGTGCAACGAATTTCTTGACTTAAGTTTCATTAAAAAAATACAACCCGAGCATCGTTTAACGCAACAAGGAGCCTTGTTTCCACACTATTTACAACCCGCTGGAGTTTAATTAGACGTGGATTGGAGATCTTTCCCGTGGATATCATGCGTCCAGCCGAGGAGCAGCGCGTCGGGCTTCACCGGATCTGGGCTCTGCTTTTCGCTGTGATCGTGTGCGCTGCGTCGGCGGTTGGATGCCCACACAAGTGTAGCTGCTCCGGCTCGCATGTGGACTGCCAGGGTCTGGCTCTGAAGACCGTGCCTAAAGGAATACCGAGGAATGCCGAGCGCCTGTAAGTGCGACTACATCACAATCACCGAGTTTACTTAGATCTGCGCTCATGCCAGAGAGCAGCAGCCTCTGCGCCCATTATTCCTAAACTGGTGTGAAATTTCAATCTGTAAAAAGGAACACGTTTCTTCCAAATATCTAATCAGTGCATGTTTACATACTGCAGCAGGATAAAAAGGCACCAGAGTGGATAAATCAAGCTGATCCTGACTGGTATTTGAAATATCTAAGAGGCACTGCGAGGAAAAAGTGCAGTTTCTATATATTCTCCCTTCCTTAAAGGATGTAATCCATTCACCTGTGTCAGTAGTACATTGTGTTTAGGGAAACTTTCAGAAATGTGTGTTGCCAAACGTTTTTGAGCACATTATTAACCGAAAATGAAACAATTCTATCAGTTCTACTGCCCAGTTTTGGACTTGAATTACAAAAGAGAAACACAAAACAACAAATGAATGAGATTAGTGACACAATGTTGATAAAAGGTAGTTTGTAAGAAATAAAACTTTTGCGCCACTTTGTATTCTCAGGTGGTAGCTATACGGAAAACTACAACAAATCTATTCAATTCCTAAAAACACATCAAAAAGAATCTTCTCACCAGATTTTATGAAGTTTGCAAAGGCCATTTTATATCACCCCAATTCTCTCACAGTTAAGCGTTTACAAAGTTCCGTACAATTTTAACAATCGACTGAGCTGGATCATCCTAAAAAACTTTTTGACTCCCTTATATATTAGTCAGCATTTTCTTAGATCAAAGCTGGTGACAGTTAATATAAAATGATATTCATTCCTCAGGCAGAGACAGACTTCTGACAGATGCTGCCACCTCGTGCCTGATCTTGACACGTATACACAAGGGCAGCCACACACATGCACGCACAAACACACATACCTTTGCTGTTAAGGTATGGAAGTGATTATGCGCGATAACGGAGCAGCCAAAAGCCCTGCAGGGGATCAACAACAGACCTAACCCTGAGACAACAAACTCAATCAGTAGGCTGCACAGGAAGGTGGGGGGTCTCTGAACCAAAAAAGGTGCTGGTGCTTATGAATATATGATTAGCATGTGTGGGTGTATCCTTACGCGTGTGTGTTTTCTTTTACACGAGTTTGTATATTCTTGAGTTTCTGCATGCTTGTGCTGGCTGGTGTGATTGTTTTTCTTCTGCACGTATGTGTGAGTGTTAACAATGAACCCCATACGTCCTCTGGCCCATAGAGCTGCTGTGAGTGACCTGCTAGCCTTCACACAGCAATCCCCCGAAGACATTTACACCCCACTAAAATAAATAATTAAGGCTGGGTCTGATGAGGAGGTGGGATAAGGTGTACCTCTGCCTTAAGCTTAGGCCCCTGGGGTGGAATATTTGGGGTAGCAGTGCCCCTTCCTCCCCCGCCTTCCACTCTTGAAACTATGTGTTTATGTTTCCCTGATTTATCCAGGTCACTGTTTCAGATGTGACTTTGGCCACGGGTTGCTCTTTTCCTCCCTCGTTCTCTTCTCCATTGCTGGCCTTCATCTTTATTTCCCTCTGCAGATATATTTCAGGGAGTCTGAGATGGGAAGCATTAAAATGGATGAGATTCCAGTTGTAAAGGTTAGGGCAGATGGGAAACGTTTTTAGAAGAGACTAGCTTCGTGCTTTACTGTCCCTGGATGGGGTTTGGGTTCGCCAGCTGAGATAATGTGATTCCAGACATAACATTCTCAGAAAACAAGTTGCCAATTTGTCAAATCTTCAGACGTGATTCCGCGCAAAGGGTTTTTAATGAGCAGCGACTCTCTGACCTGATTTAAGACGCTGAATAAAACATAAATAGAACTTTAAATTTAATGCAACTCATCTTGCAACTTTATGTAATTTTGATTTGTTCTGTAATAGTCGCTAACCAAACTGTTCTTGCCAGTGAAAACTGGCAGTCCTCATGAGTATTTAAATGAAGTGAAACATGTATTTAAATGTAAGAAATCTGTTATAATTTCCCGGCGTCAGGATGCTGAAAACGCTCAAAGCCAGTGTTGCAATGTTGAGGTCTTTGGCTGAAAACTGATGTGCATCAGTCTACTAAAAATATAGAAACGATGGTCAAACATAACAAAAACAAATAAGCCAGAACTAACAAGGTCCTTGTGTGCCCCAGGATCACAGAACTCTACAGAAAAAGTGTTTGCTGGTTTTTGTTTTTGGTGATACTGATTCTAAGTGTTGTCTTTGGTCCAAAGTCTCCCAAAGGGTCAGTAGGTTCTCCTGAAGGCCATAGCTTAGCATAACACACGTTTTCATCAATATATCATCTCATGTTTTGTGGTGTTCCATGGCAGAAATGGTTCTCCGTAGAATTGGTATAAGTAAGACTAACCCCTCCTTTCCAGGGGAGCCGTCAGCAGCACGTTACTGCAGCAGCACGTTATAGCTGCTGATAGGAACCGCTGTGGTCAACAGAACCTTTTCCACCGGAGCCGTCAGCAGCCATCAGCAGTGCGAGTCGGCCGTGTCTCAGGAGCAGCATGTCGCGGCTCTTATGCGCCGGTTCTATTTTCTACGTGCGACGCCTCTGAAACGGGTCAAGGTCGACATTTTTGGGGAAGGAAAGACTGAAATCGGACGCGGAAATGGAACTAAGCTTCCCGAGATTTTCAGAATAAAGAACGTACTGCCTTCCAGTTGCTCTACTTTAAAAAAAGTTACTAACTGTGCGGCCCCGTGAGAAGTTATCACCTAGCTAGCGGTCTCCTTTGTTTTTCAGGTCCATATTGGCGATTATAAAATGGACAGAACATAAACCACAAACCTTTTGGAGCCATGTTGTAGTTTTCTCCTGCTTGTTGTTGTGTTTACTGACGAAGTCACTCGTGTGACTTCGTGCTCTGTCGGTGACAGTTGCTCCCCTGCTGCTTCGCGTCTCGTGGGAAGGGCCAAGCAGCAGCTTACGCGAGCAAGACGTGCTGCTGCAGTAACGTGCTGCTGACGGCTCCAGTAGAAAGGAGGGGTAAAGAGTATTTGTATTCGCTGTACTCCCTACGTCTAAGTGAATTCTGTTGCATTGGTCGAGCGGTGCATTCAAATGTTCTGTGTGATTGAATTTTTTACCCACCTATAAGATTTGAGTGTAAAACAAACTATTGCACCATATCAATTTAGACTAAACATAGTAAATATGGAAACAAGATGAACTTGTTCATAATTTATGATCAGTGTTTGATAAATGTTTACATTTTTGGTGAAAAACAAAACAAAGCAATAGACAACAGGTCCACCTACCTAGGTTTCTTCATGTTGACTTGGTAGGCCACCATGAACTTCCGACGATGACCTTCAGCAAAAATACTGCAGTTTCAGCATTAAAACAACCAAACAATGAATGTGTCACACACTTTAACTGTCCTGTTAGAAACAGAAACTAAACTGCACAAAACGTAAAATTGTTTCTATTTGGGAGATTTGTTTGTTGTACCAGTACATTATTTAGCAACTTTTACCCTTGAAAAGCCAGATTAGTCACCCTTACATCAGCATACAGCTTGTATATCTGCAGAATGAGCAACACAGCTTAACATGTGCTAAACAACACCCTGTCCTGTTGGTATTGTTCTGAGTTGCCTTTTGAATTGGACGATTCGAATATCCTTCCATATGAAGGAAAAAGTATAAACATTAGACTTTTTCCACTTTATGCATTTTACACGGTCAGAGACCTCAGTAGCATGTGGAAGATCTATACGCAACCTCAACAGCTTGGCTGCTCGTGCCAGGCAACAGTTTGGTCAAGCTTTGCTGAGTCGTGGCATCCCATTGCTCAAGTCCATCAGCGTGTTTTTGTGGATCACTCTAGAACAAATAACTGTTCAAGAGCTGCTGATCAGGTGTCAGTCATGCAAATGGCAGCACATGAAGCTTGTTTCCCATCATCAAATAGCAAAGAGTCGTAGGCACAGCACCATGTCCTGCATATAAGAAAAAAACACCATTTTTAGTGCTTCACCTAAATCACATAAATAGTAAAATTCTGGGGTTTTTACACAAACTGCCATATTCTTTGAAACAATAATGCAACAATCTCTCATAATCCTGATCTACAAACTGTTAAATGGTAACTAGCCTGTATTTGTATAGCACCTTCTTAGGTTCTACAACCCCCAATGATCTTGACAACACAATCAGTCATCCGTCCATTCACACACACACACACACATTCACACACTGGTGATGATGAGCTACAATGTAGCCACAGCTGCCTTGGAGCACACTTATGGAAGCGAGACTTCTGAACACAGCACCACTGGTCCCTCCAACCACCACTAGCAGGCAAGGCAGGTTAAGTGTCTTGCCTAAGGACCCAACAGCAGCATTCTCTGGTCAGATTTGGGATCGAACCTGCAACTTCCTGAGCTACTGTTGCCCTATCTCATAAAGCTTTACTAAACATAATTTTTGTGAAAACGTACTGTAGCAAAGAGACAACAAAATGACATGATATATTGATGAAAATGTGTGTTGTGCTAAGCTATGTCCTTCAGGAGAACCTACTGACCCTTTGGGAGACTTTGGACCAAACAGGAATGATCACAAACCCATGTATTTCCTCTGTAGACTCTGTGACTCGGGACCCAAGTCGACACGGTTCATTCATTGTCGTATGTCATACTGTAATTACCACTAAACTAATACTAGAGGACTGTGGTGTCACAGTGAAACAGTCAAGCATATTTTCAGACTCAAATTCGTAATGCATGTCAACATTTTCTGACCTACAATTTTGTGGAAACAACTGCATGAAAATAAATTCATAGAGTCCGAAAGTGGTTACACAACGTCAGCCTTCTGATTTTGAGCTTGCCTTATCTTAAGATCTAACAGGATTCTTTTCCTCTTGTATTAGGTTGTTGGTCTCTTATCCCGGTCAAAAGGCAGATCTAGTGAATCAAACTAAATCAGACAGACTGTGTGAAGGTTACTGAAAACAAATGTACAAAATCACTTTTAAGTGGAG